TGAATCACGAGTCGGAAATCTCAACTTTTCAAAATATTGAGGCAAGTTCTTGCCCTTTTGGCCAAGCCAAAAACTTTGGCCATAAACACAAGTGTGCAAAACTCGTGCCAGCAATAAGAGTTACATAGCTACAACAACAACAACAACAACGACAACAAGTAAAGCAGCAACAGCGACATTCAACTGGGCTCGTTAGCCCTACGGCGTATACGTAATATGCAGTTAACTGGACAATTTCACAAAGCTACGGTCCAAGGCGCAGGTGCAAAGTAAATTATGGTCGCAATTAATGCTAATTAAATTCATATTTTTGCCATTGTAAATATTATTTGACTAAGTAGTTGTTTTGCTTACGGCAACTTCCGCCCGGACCGTACAGCTCAACTGTCGAACCGCTCGGGCAGCAAACGAGCCCAACAACACGTTGAGCACCCCCAGAGACCACATTAATCATTTCGTTAGCTGCGACTGAAGTGCATTTCGGATGTGCTGAGCGTGAAATATTTGCTGCTCAAACTCAAATGGTTGGCTTCGTGTAATTTGTGGCTGGAGCTCAACCAAACACACAGCAACACATGTGCATAGCCACAAGACACCCACACACACACACACACACACGCACACCCAGAGAGATGCTCGTCATTCATCATTGCACACACAAACAAATTGATGAAAATCATAGAAGTGAACTGAGCTGATGAGGAATGTCCAAGACTCTCTCAGGCCTTGCTTAGAGATTAAATTGCCAATAATTAAATTTGATGTACAATTTAATTGTAAGTGACATATTACACACAGAATTAGCAAGGTGGGTAATATAATACTAAAATATTATTAAATACTTTAAAGAAGTTCAAGGTGTGAAGTAAGCGAAATTGAATTTAAATAGTTTGTAGCATTTGAGATAAACAAACCAAATTGAAACACACACACCCACACACCCGCACACACATGCACCGTGGCACACATTCATGTTTATTTATGTGGAGCACAAGCCCTAGTTGATTATGTATATTTGCTTCTTGTTTGCATAAATTTAACGCTCATTTTGGTTTGCAAATCCCGAAGGGACATTCGTGTGCATTTTTCATGAAAGCAATCAGTTAGCCGCATGTTTAGTGTGTCATGTGTTTCAGCCGGTTTACGGCCGGCCCACACATTGAATGCTCCATTAATTATGATGAAAATACAGGAATTAGATTATCAGCTTACCTGAAATCAGATGACTGCCATTAGAATGGAATGAAATATGAAATGGCATCGCTCTGTAAATAGAAAGAGACGAACGATATAGAGAGAGAGTTGAATATGTAAAATGTTATCATGGCCAAATTGTCATTGTTTGACTTCCCAGTTAGTCTTAATTTTGGATTAACAATAATCTCTAATACATAACTAAATATACGATTCACATGACCATATGCTCTGGCTGCAATCAGTGCTCTAATGTGCGGCCAATTGGAGCAGTTATGTGAGAGATGCCACAGCAGAACTGGTATATAAGAACACCGACAATGCATAATTCATTTTAAGCACCACTTAAAGTTATGGCAGACGGCCGGAGCGCAATTTAAGACAGAGTTTAATGCATTCAATACGTCATTGGGCATGTTGTGAGCGGTTTGGGTCGTTGCTCTGATTTATGGTGCGTATACTTGATGCGGCCGCAAAGCCGCACAAAATGTTGCTGCTGTGCTACCTTCTTTACTTTCGGCTGTTGCCACTGCCACTCTGTCTGCCTTTCCCTTTTGATAAAACACAAAACAGGCCTCAAAATAAACTCGCACACACACACACACACACACACACACACACACACCGACACAACTTTGGCTGCGGATGGGTCAGAGTCTGAATTGGAGTCTTATTTTGAGTCTGAATGCTGATATTATTAAATTTTATAACATTTCGATGCGTCTGCATTTCAATTGACCATAAACGGCTTTAAGGCTTTACGACTGCGCCAGTCCTGAGCTTAAAAGTATCCACGATCCGGAGCCATTGTAGGCGCCCTGTGATAAGACGATATGTATATGCATTCATTCAACCGGCCATGCCCAATTTAATTTATCAAAGTCATAAACTGTTAAACGACTCGACCGGCAAATACTACATGAATAATGGGCGTGGCGTCAGATTCTTGGCAATGCGAGACACGATGGCCGATTAAGTGAGCATTTAGTTAGGAGCATAAGATGGGAGTCTTATATATGAGGGCGTGATAGATGCAGAAAGAGTCCGTCAGATTGTCTAAGCCAACATTAAGTTAATTAGGCCAATAAATAAATGAATCAAAATTTGATTGATCAACAACATATTTAAACAAATGATTTGCTCTTGTTTAATTATTTAATCTTCATAATATTGCCTTTGCTGGCTTTAAGATTGTAGTGGCTGGCCGGGCCCACACTCCTGCAGCTGATGGCTCTCGAACGGACTCAATCTGAGTGCTTGGCCAAGTTTCGAGAGACAGCAAGTTTGCAAAACCGAGTCAAATATAATTACGTGAGCATCGAACGTGAGTGTGTGCTCTGCCAATTATATCTAGCACTCTTGCAACTGGCAGCTTGAGAGCTGCGTAAAACTGCAGTCTGTGGGCAGAAGTGATAAGCCCCATGGGCTATGTGATGTAAAAATTAAGTTAACAACAAGTGGCCGATACACCACTCCGTTATGGCAGCCTGAGTCCATGAACCATATGAACTCGGGGTAGTAAAGTTTTGTGGAAGTGCGCGTGAGAGACAGCAGGAGGCGTATACCCTATATAGTATAGACAATATTCCTGATAAGGCTGACGAGCTGAGGCTATATAGACCTATCTGGAAACGTTTCTCATTTATAATATTCAATCAAAATTAAAATAGTTTTTAAAATTTTTAGCTTATCTCTAGTATACTATGGAAAGCCAACTGATAAATAGATAAGATTCATTAGCAGCTACATTAACTCATAAGTACATTTCTGAAAACTATACAGTTATATCATAAATTTGCACTCCATATACCCGTTTGATTTTATATTTTTTGCACAGAGAACAAAGTAATCTGAAAACGTTTTGCTGACAAAAAAGAAACACAAGATAAAAGTCGAAAATCTGTTTATGTATTAATATCATTCACAGTGTCCGTACAAATAACTGAATTTAAGCCTCGGGCTGCTGCTCTATCGGCCCGGAAACTCGTCGTCACTGCAAAAGTTTATGCCATTTAAACATAATTTGCTTAACCAAAACGAACCGGCCAGCGCGAGGATGGGTTCGCAAACTGTCGAAAAAACACGCACACACACACACACACACACAGACACACACTCATAAAATCGGCAATAATAATTTTTGTGGGTAAAGGTAGCATTCGCTGGTCGAAGGAGCGAATCTCTCCGTGGCTGAGTGGGGTGGGGGGAGGATGAGCGCGTGCGTCTTTAATTTATGCAGCGCCGCATTTTTGCGGGACTCATCCACACACGTAGGGCTCAAGGACTGGCAGGCAGCTGGCTTGCCGGAAATCAACAAAAGTTTATTGAGCATAAATTTAAATCGGCTTGATGCTCACTGTCTGCCTAGCCTCTGGGCCTGCTTTGCTCTGCTTTGTCTTGCTTTGCTTTGCTTTGTTTTGTTTACGCGAGCGTTTTATGCGCTTTTAAATTGATTTCATATCCATTTCATTTCGACGGCCATTTCCGTATCCACCTTCGCCCCCAGCCCAGCCAGCATTTGCCCTAACGAAGTAAGTCGCCAAATGAAGACATGATTTGTGACAGCAGCTGTTGCTGCCGCACACCCACGACATGGCTGGCCTCATCAGGATACGCTGTTCCAGGTTTATGCACTCGGCATCTGGCTTTCATGTTCGTACTCTGAACTATGCACTGGGCTCTGGGTCCGACGAAGACAAAATCAATGAAATATTTCAATATAAATAAGCAATTTTCGGTTCGCATTATATTATCCAATGTCTTCTTCTCTCACCATCAGACATTGCATGGCCCATTGTTCGCTTCAGTTCTGTGCGATGGTACAAAATGGGGTGTGATAATAAGTATCTAATAATTTGTTATCATTATTGGCTATGGTCATTTTGGTGTTGACTCGCTCGCCCACTCTCGCGCGCGTCTTTCATCTCTCGCTATCTGCGTTCGTGTATTAGCCTAATGGACATTGCCTCCCCCCTGCCCGCACCACCGGACCTCTGCGTCTCAGTGATTACCGAGCAAATTAAATTAGTGAAAATGTTGAAACGAGGCACGAGAAAGGTAAGACAATCTAATTGCCTTCGTTGCGGGCTCCAGTGTCTGCTCTGTCCTGAGTGTGGTGTCGAAATATAACTGTATATGTATAAATATAAATGAGTAAATACATATATGTATCTATATCCACATCCGTATATGTTTACTCCGTCTAGCATTGTGAACAGGTGGCAACGATTGGCCCCTGGAGGCCATTGAATTAAACAAGCTAATTAGGTTTTATAGATATAAGCAAGCGAAAAACAAATTTTTGCGGTGACAAGAGTGTTTTAGCAGCACCCAAGGCTGCAATTGAATAATAAACTAAGTGCTTAACGAATTTAATTCAATTGCAATCTCTAAAATATGTATTTGCTAAGCCCACTTTTGGTCTTGATTAAATATTTAGACGTGAGAATTATTTGAACAGCATCAACAAGTCTTGCACGATTTAATTCAACAATTATTTGGCTGTGCTAGCGGAGACACGAACCACATTGCTGGCGACACCTGACGGCCATTTTGTGTTGCCTTTTGCCCTTAGGCCGCCATTGTAATTTAGCTTGAACAGGCTAGAGAGCTACTGCAGGAAAGCTTTATTTGAAACAATAGCGGGCCACCAAAACGGCACAAGGAAATTTGATAGTAGTCAAGCTAGGAATAACATGTACTATAACTGTAAATATATATAGGTAATAAAATAAATAAATAGATGGCACAACACACTGGCATCACACTGCACTGCAAAGCTCCATACACCCACGCACCCACCCAGACCTACAGCACAGGGAATCGACCAAACTAGTTGCCTGCCCTTAGCTTCTCTACCGACGGGGCTGACAAGGCAACGCGCAACAAATTAAAGCAGGTCAGCAAGCACAACTCGACTCGACAAAGGAATTCCGACAGTCGCCTCACAGACAACAGCTGCGGAATGAGCGCCAATAAAATTTTCCTACGCTATTACCCGCCAGGTGAGTCTTGGATAATTGTACAGCTATGAATGTTATTTCAAGTGAATCTTTATTTCGATAGGCTTGGCTTTGAGTTATCGATCGGCTAAGGGCGGTGAGAGACTGCGACACTTCGATTTGCTCGACTTGGATGCCAAGTGAGTAGCCAGCCGGATGCGGTGCTCAATTGAGTAAACATATTGATCTACAGAACCAATGTGGAGCAATTGGCGGATAGAATTTTGTTTGAGGAGCTGCAGGTGAGGGAGTCAGGAGGAGATGAGGGCGCCGCCTGTGCTGAGAGTGCTCCATTATGCTTGCCCGCCAACTCCAAGGCCTCCAGCTCACATAACATGTTCAGCGCACTGAAGCAAGCCATTGAGAAGCTGCAGGCGAAGCTGCGCGAGCCCATTAAGAAGAAGTTCTATCTGCACAAGTGCTACAACTCGCACATTCTGCCGCTGACCAACGTGTGCTTCGATCGCAGCGGCGAGCGCTGCTTGACTGGCAGCTACGATCGCACCTGCCATGTGATCAACACCAGCACCGGCCTGGTGCAGCACGTGCTCAACGGGCATGACAACGTGGTCTTCTCGGTGGCCTTCAACACACCCCGCTGGTAAGTTGAATCGAGCTGGTCTGATAATGCTTAACGCTTGGTTTGCTTAGCGACAAGATCATTACGGGCTCCTTTGATGGCACCGCCAAGATCTGGTCCGCAGCCACTGGCCAGTGCCAGAGCACGTTGTATGGCCACACAGCCGAGGTGGTGGCTGCCGAATTCAATCCTGCGCACGACCAGGACGTGGCGACGGCCTCCATTGATGGCAAGGCGCGCATCTTCGATGCGGAAACGGCGCAGGAGCTGCAGCAGTTGAGCCACCATGGCGCCGAGGTGATTGTGGCGCACTACTCTCGCGACGGCCAGCTGCTGCTGACAGGTTCCTTTGACCACACAGCCGCCATTTGGGACATACGCAGCAAGAGGTATGTGAATCAGATGTGATGAATTTCTAATTGATTTGCCATCTGTTGCAATGCTCCGACAGCTGCTGTCATCAGCTGCGTGGACACACTGCGGAGTTGTCAAACTGCGTCTGGAACTTCAGCAGCTCGCTGATTGCCACCGGCAGCCTGGACCGCACTGCACGCATCTGGGATGTGCGCCGCCTGGACCAGGAGCTGCATTTGGTGTCGACGCACAGCGACGAGGTGCTGGACGTCAGCTTCGATGCGCCCGGCAAGCACTTGGCCACCAGCAGCAGCGACTGCACGGCGCGCGTCTGGAGCTTGGAGCCGTTCGAGATGCTGTCGCTGATGGCCGGCCACAGCGATGAGGTGAACAAGGTGTGCTTCAGTCCCAGTGGCTGCATGCTGCTCACCGCCTCGGCGGACAACACGGCACGCCTCTGGCTGGCCGAGACGGGCCAGTGCTCTCAGGTGCTGACGGGCCATGAGTCGGAGGTGTTCAGCTGCGCCTACAGCTATGCAGGCGACGCCATATTGACTGCGTCCAAGGATAACACTTGCCGCGTTTGGAGGTGATACGACTGGTACACTGTGCAGTTCAACTCTGATTAAACAATGATAACGGTTTTTTGTTCTTTTCTTTTTATCAACATTTACTACAAACTCGGGTTTTTTTTTTCATGTTCATTTTTTTCTGTTTTGCTTTAAGTTTCTTAGTATTTCATTTCGCACACTTCTTACAAATTAATAGTTTTTTTTTCTGTTTTCCATTACAGGTTTAATTTTGTTTCTTTACTTATTTTGTTTTGTGTTTAAAGTGGATATCATCTCTCATATACATATATAAAAATAATGAACAAAAATTATCCTTCAGTAACAAACATTATACAGCTTACAAAAGTCCGCTTCATTTCGGAATCAATATATATTATTATTAATACACAGTTTGAAAATTAAAATAAAAACTTCTTGTACAGACATCATCACCCGAGCGAATTTCTTAGACAGGACCAATATAGGTTTTCTATTTATTTTCTTCAACATATATATATTTTTTATTTTTCTTTTCTTTTTTTATTTTGTTTTTGCTTTTTTTTTTCTTTTTTCTTTCTTTTTTGGTAAAATTGTACACAGATGAACTTTTTCTACAGTTCGGAGGCGGGCAACAAAGACGAGTGAACAAGTACGTGATTGAATGCTTTGTTTGAAATGGTGACGGAACGATAGATAGATAGATAGATAGAGCTCTGATCTCTCAATATAGAATAGTAGTAGTAGATAGTGGCCTGTAGTGTTTCGATATTGTAACTGTCTATCTGTAGCTTCTGGGAATATATAGTATTAATAAGGTAGTTTGATTAGATGACCGAGCAGTCAGCATTTTGCATTTTCTCATTGGCTTGGAGCCAAACCTGGTTCGGTTAGTTATATAATTATATTTATTTATTTTGTCGTTGCTTGTGTTAGTTATCTCTGAGAGGTCTGCTTAGGTTCGCCCTTTTCTATAAGTATGATCTATGTAATACAAGGTTTTCGCAGTAGTGTTTAGGACTTTCTTTCGTATATACTATATAATAATGGCTATTTCTATTATTAGTAGGTTTTTCCATATGTTTTTTCTTTATCAAAGTAGAAAACGGTTTTGGTGTGTCGTGTGTGAATGTGTGTGTGTGTGTGTGTGTGTTTTTGTGTGTGTGATTATAGTTTGTTGGGTTGCTATTGCTATTGTTGTTGTTGCATTTGTTGTTGACTGTTTGATTTGCATTTTAATGCGTTGGACTCTGCAAAAATAACGAAAAGTGACAAATTATTACGTGTGTGGATAAACAGGTGGGGAGAAGATCAAAAAGAAAGCACAGCCGGGGCGCGGGCTTACATGAAGCGTGTGGAGTGGGGAGTTGATGGAAGTTTTCGTATTACAATTATTATTATTATTAATTTCTTTATTATTGTTTTTGGATGAGCATGCGGGGGTAGAGCAGCAAGCGAACATGCAGGGCGCCTGTTAGTTATTTATTTATTTTCTTTTTTATTTTGAATTTAATTTGGGTGCTGTAAATCTTACAATAGGTTCATTATCTATGCAAAAACCAAGAGACGGAAACGACAGAGTGGCGTTCGCCTTACAGTTAGAGTATATGAATTTCAAGGGCTTTTAGTTTCAATTGTTCTCTTGTTGGATGGTTGTTTGTTTTGGTTTTGGTTGTTGTTGTTGTTGCTGTTGTTGTTGATTTAGAAATTAACATTATTTAGCATTAAAAAATTCATAGCTCATCATATGCATACAGCTAGAAATAAAAGAAAGAGAATACGTAAAGAGCTTTCGATTTGTTAAACAACAATTAGTTGGGATGCAGCCTCATTCTTAGAATAGAAATTTGTGATTTCAAATTATTAGATTAGGTGATAAATGTGAAAATAGAGCATAGAGATAGAGTGAACTGAAGCTGAAGGCAATCATCTAGAAATGGAAAAGAGCTAAAGCAAAACTTAAAAGCAAATGAAAATGAATAAGCATCAATAAGCAAAATTCGCATCAAAGTCAGCGATCTCAAGTGATTCTACATGTTGTAAAAAATATTTCGTACTTCACATGGACTCTCTGGGAATACCTCCTTGAATGTTCGCTCAATAACGTGATATCTGCGATTAAATGAAATCAATTAGCAATTAGCTCACACACTTAAGATATGGGAATACCCACTTGGACTGCAAGCCGCCGCCGGGTGGAAGACCTACTATGTCATCTTTGTCTTGGAGACACTTTAACAGCTCCACGTACTCCGTGATCTGATTACTCTCAATCTCTTCTGTAAGAATGCCAGAAATATACGAATAGTTAAGTAGCTGTTGTGAATGCGTTAGCGGCTCGAACTTAGTAATTAAGGCTCTTGGTAATAAAATTTGTATGTACAATTAAATACGAGTTGTTTATATAGATATATACATATTAAAGCTACGCAAAAGCAAAATCACAATTCATAAAAATAGAACACGGAATATGTTGCAACAGCGAGGGCCGACAAAAATTTAGCAACAAACTGAACGTGAGGCTTGGCAAATGAGTTCAGGTCGATCGAATGCTTTCTTTGCCTTTCTTTTTGCTTCTTTTTGTATTGTTTATCATATAACATACAAAAGAGAAAAAAGTGTTTGACTTCTTTAATTCCATCGACCTGAGTTTGTAGCATCGGAATCTTAAATAATACAATAAATTGGGGTGTCGCAAAAATGGGCGCTTCAAAAGGTCAAAAGGGAGTACACTAAAGAAAAAAATGAAACGAAGAGTGGCAGTGCTCTGCCTTGCCCCCTCTTTGGAGATAATCTTTGCATTGGGTATTGTTTATGAGAAAACTCTTTACAGCATTCAGTGTACAACAAACATTTGAAAATATCGAATGGTAAAAGTGATTGGATAACATGTATAATAATTGGATTTATCTTAAGAGCATGCATATATCATTTACTTTTTCATTTGTGTGTTGTGGGATCTATGTGCCTTACCTTATGCTCACTCATCATAAAATTTGTTTGGCTTTCTGTTTTCTGGCATTGGCAAGACACGCCCATTTTCATATTGATTGTGTACATTATAAGAGTACGATTTATAGCACGATGCGCGATCAACGATAATAAAACAAGACCGCGCTCCTAAATTGATTTTAACAAATTTCGTGGAAAGAATACTTGGAAAAAATCATTAGTCATTAGTTTCGACTGATCCTTTAAACAAACGAGCAACTTTTAAAATAAACAAATGATCAAGTTTACGAATTGAAAAACGCTGCGCAATTGAAAGTTGTTGTGCCGAAAGAAAAAACAAAATGAATGAAATAAAAGAGTAACAAATTGAAATGAAAAGAAATTAGCTTGGATCTCGATTACATGAATCGTGCGAGTTGCTGATTTATTTGTGTTGCGTGTTGGAGGAGGAGGGGACGTGGAAAAGCAGCGAATGTTTATCGAATGGAAACTGAAAACTGAACAACACAGCAAACAAACACTTTTGGTTGATTGGTTTTCGAATCTTTCATTTCAAGTTATATTTGGACTTAGCAGCGAAAAGAATAATTAAACGTATTTGATTAGTTTTGTTGGTATTCCATTATGATTATCTATATTAAACGTTGCTACTTGAGCCAGCGATCTCAATTATGAATGATTGCTAGAGCACTTTGGTACAATTGTTCTCAGCATATCGAGGAGATGTTCGACCTGATAATCTCTAGCTTCGCTGCACCGCATCAATCGCATTTATCTAAATTCAACAATTTAAAGTAATCTGTTTACGTTGACAATAAGCACAACAATTGGTGAGCATAAGGTTTACAATTATTATTTCATTTTTCAACTTTTTCATAATTGTTCTTGTTTTGTTTTCTTTTGGGTTCATCTGATACGTTCACAGATACCCTAAGGCCCAGCATTAAATATGTTTACCCTAGGCTAAGTAATTTGTCTGGACATTTGGTTTGACTAGTTGCTTCTTTGGTTATACTTAAAACTACATATTTGGTATACAGGACAAATGGATTATTTATGGAGTGTGGTTTAAACTAATTGTAAACCATATACAATATCATTTAGGCAAAGTAATTGTCTACATCGTACATATACATATAAAATTCACTCCTGTACTTCTGAGCATGGTCGTAAGAACGTTCTTCAAAAATTCACTTTGGTGTTCTGAATACTGTGGGCTGCCTAAGATCAATTGCGTATATTCACTAGAAAATAATCTACACACATATATTATGTATATTATGACTAATAGTTGAGCGTGCGCCTAGAGCAGCTCGAAATCAATGACTCATCAAAATCAATTCCCTCAATTCAACTATAAACGAAATTGCATGCACATTTCATTTTGATGAAGCTACTACTCATTTTCCTAGAATACATGAGCTGAATGTGTTTATAGTACTTTTTTTTTTTTTTGAATATTTGCTATTATTGCTCTCTAGTGGTTTGTAAAAGTGTTAATAAACTGTCTGTTATAATTCAATCTAATGGTATTTGATCGAGCTATATTAAAATTTGTATCAAATATGGGTTAGGTACTTTATCATTTTAACACAATAATTGGGTCTTTTGGATATTGGAATATATACAGGCATATATATGTACACTGGCTGACGGGGCCTCAACTACAGTTCACAACGGGAAGGTTCATCAATAATTGCTAATAAGCTTATGGTATTACTACATGACTATATATATATATATGAGTATGATATACTGGGTAAAAATGGGCAGGATTCTTGGTTCTTCAGCTACAAGGAGTTCACTCACGTGGAACGCTTTGGCAGTTGCTGTAGCACACAAATACATATGATGTATAAATAAATAAATAATACTGTAACATACACACACGCACATACAAATAAGGTCAGTCACTCGGCCACACGCACAGCCAGTGGAAGTAGTAGATATGATAAACTAACACGCTATACAGTTATTTACTATGCATTATTGATTCATGGGACATACATGGGCTATGTATACCTAAGTGTATACGTATGTAAGTATTGAATAGGTATTGGCAATGATTATAGCAATTGCTTTCTGTATCTGAATTGAGTTTCCTTTTTGATTTTTCGTTTCAAGTGCTACGTGGAAGGAACATCTAGAGCAAGTGTGCTTGCATTGCGGTCTCGATTCGTTCAATTATCTATCTAGCTATATAAATACATATACGTATGTATTTATGTGAGTGTATAATTATAATCTAGTAATCTTTGCCAACGTTTTGTTGGGACTATCTTTGTATGAATTACGTAAGGTACAATGTATTCGTTTTAGTCGCCTATGTCAGGTCGATGGACACGTCGAGGGTAGAGGGTCGACGACAAAGATACATAAACACAATTGTGTTACGACTATCGTTAGGTATACGATTAGTTATAAACAGAGTAGACGACTTAGACAACCTCTTGCGATCTTCTCAATTTGTTTTTCCAACCGTCGCTCAGCCTCTTTAGCTTCTTCAGTTGGCTTTGGTGCTCCGGGGAAAGCAATTATTATAATGCTCATATTATCACGACTGCCCTGTGGATCCAAATAGAGAAATACAAGAGATATAGATATTGAACAGAGGAAATAATTGAATAAAGACGTACCTTGTGCAAACAGGTGTCAACTACCTGATTGGCAATGTTTACCAGGTCTGAGGTCACTTTAAGCCTGGAGTATATGAAACTGCATACATCCTCGTTGCTCATCACATCCCAGATGCCATCACAGGCGAGTACTAGGAACTCGTCCGTGTCTTGGCGGCTTTGGCAAAAGATTTCCGGTTCAGGGGAGACCAACTGCTCGCACTGGCCCTTCTCCTTAACATTTTTAAAGTCATAGTCGCCTAGGGCACGGGATACAGCAAGTGTTCCGTTGACACGCTTTATCATTACACTGCCGCCAGCATTGTGAATCCGCTCCTTCTCCTCGGGCAGAATGGGCTTGTGATCCTGGGTAGCAAACACTGGCACACCCTGGCGGCACAACACCGCGCGTGAATCTCCACAATTGGCTATATACACCTGCGTTGAGCTGATGAATGCGCAAACGGCCGTTGTACCGCCGCACTTCTCCTCCTCTTGGGTAAACTCGGGCAGCTGTCGCATCACCTCGTCAATGCGCAGAAAGCCAGTTCGTATTCCCTTTACATGATCCCCACTCTTGAATTCCTCTGTGGTAATGATACTGTCCAGCAAATTCTTGGCGCAATGCTCCGAAACCTTACAACCTGCATGACCATCGAAAACCGCAAAGAAGCTCCAGCCTTCCAAAGCGTTGCCTAAGCGGGCTTGAGCATAATACGCGTCTTCCATTTCACACCGCCAGCCCTGCATCGAGCTGACGCCAAAGAGCAACTTGTTGCCTTCGCCTTGTTCATTGTGCTTTGCTGTTTTTGGCTTATCCAGGAATCCTCCCATATCTATTGAACATAATGTGTGTGTACTAGTTGGAATTACTTTCGGTTCAGTCCCGCCTTTGACGTCGCTTGCTGTGGGGAGGAAACAGTGAGACTGTTGAGTGAATTAAAACAATTCTCCGAGTAACATGCAAAAATCTATAAAAACTAGGCACCCGACGTACACACACACACGCACACACGCACACAAACAGAATGACACTGACACATGAACGAACACTCACACAAGCATACGGAATCAAGGATGCGTATTGAGCCTTTAACCGCCTACACTTGACTTAATGCAGCTGCGCTCTTTTAATCGTCTTGTTGTTGTTGTTGTTGCAGTTAGCGGTTCCCCGATTGGCTTTTGACTCCACTCGCACATCGATTTATCAAAGACGCGGGCTCGGTAGCTAAATTTAGCGCAGGTCCGAACTGGCACGCCCACACGCCTTTCGGCTACTGCTCAGCGTGGGTGTTAGTTCGACCGTTCGCTCTTGTTGTTATTGTTGTTGTACCGTGTTAGCATTTCTTGCTTTTATTTTCTTACAGTCAAGCGTAAAACAGCTTGAATTAGAAGCGCGCCGCCACGTCTAGTGATGAGCGAAATAAGCGCGCGTTGCATTGTTTACATCAAAAAATCACATTGCTTACAGTTAAATACTTAACGATTAGAAATGTGCAACTATTGTTTGCAGATTTGCTATTTGCTATTTAAAAGTGAAGCACTTTTTAATTGAACATTTCTTTGAATGTCGGGAAGGATTGTAATCGAAGTACCCACGATCTAAATGGCAGCCTGAGTACCGCTTTAGCAGTCACCAACGGTATTTTAAAGTTACAGTTCGTATAGTGCCTTTAAATTCACAATAGCTCTCACCACTAAGTGAGTTATTTGTGCGCAGTGGAGAGCTCCATGCAGGGGGCAGGCAACACGAGGAAAAGCATATAACGAAACAGACAAGTTTCATAAACATTCACACGCCCTTTTCTTTTTATTTACACGATAGCAAATTTGCGCTCGCATTAATATAACCATATAATGTATTTCAAAACGCACCAACTATATTTCACCTCGGGTATTTCTTTTTTAATTTTCGTTTTCGATTCTTTGCCTGTTCTTGCACTAACTTTTGCGTGTATCTGTGTGTGAGTGTGTCTTCTTGGCAGCTTAACGAAAATTTGCTTTGTTTGATTTGTGCGTCATCGAAAGAAATTCACGAATGAGCCGGATGTAAATCACTTATTGAATCTTGTAAACGTAATATTTTTATAACGCAAAATAAATATATGTTTTGATTAGAAAAAAAAAAACAACCACAAACGAACAGCGACTGACGTTTATATCTTCTTTATATCGATACATTGACTCGATATATATGTATATTTAATTTTAACATCGATTATTGGAACGAGAGCATACACATCGATACATCGGCCAATATACTGTTTGGCTTTCTCTGTAATCCGATAGGTGGCGCTAGTGAGCGCATATTTCAAAACATATGTTCGATTTAAAACGGATGCCATATATGCATTTATAGATCAAAGTAAATGTTAATGTTATAACATACATATATAAAATTTTAGGCAATCTTGATATATCTCTTACATATCAGGCATTTGAATGATAGGGTCCAAAAAACATATTAATTAAGTAATGCTGATTTAACATAATATGAATGCTTAGTCTCCCTGCCTCATTTATTGATAAATTAAATAGAACAACATACAAAGAAATTTAGGAGCTACGTCTGGCATTGCACCCACTAGCACTTACCGAAATTGTTAACTTCTATCGCAACTATAAAATAGAATTATATGAGCTTAACGATTGTTAACTTTATACTTCCGTAGTATGATGGGATCATAAGCAACGTTCCAAAATGAGGTCACTAAAATTCCTCAACATTCTTTTATTGCTAACAAATATTTTGCCATTGGTAAAACGAAATGCCAAATATTATTAGAAAAATTAATTCTAGATTTTTGGTGATTCTACTTACTTCTTACTTCTACTTACATTGCTTCTAAGTGTGCAGATATTCCACAAAAAGCTAAGTGGCTTTATCCATGTAAATGATGAACACCGGACAAATTACACGTGTGAATTTTTACGAATAACGAGTGATATAATGTCGAGTTGTCCTAAACGTTTAAACAATGATTCACTTCATGAAATAGCTTCAGTTTTTGGTGTTTGCATGTACCTAGCCTCAGGTTCCAAGACCTGTAAACACATGATGTAAAATATCATCAATAGGAAAATTAAATAAGCAACTAAAGTAAGCAAGAACTAAAATTTTAAAGGTAACTAGAAATTCGTCAGATAGTAGTTCCCTCTAGTATCTCAAATATATATATAGTGATGCCGTCACAATAATGGACTATAATCACTAACCAGTGCTATAATCTTCATTGATTGCTTAATCCGGTACTTTTCTAACAAAATTTACAATCGAATTGCTCATGCGTACTATCATCATGCAAAGCTGATAACAGAATATGCGAAAAATGAAAAGGTGAGAGCAGACAATAACTGCTTCTTAAATATAGAACAAGTTCATTCACACTCAAAATATACACTTGTTGCCCAATTCAAGTTCATTCACAATCAAAAAATACGTTTGTTCAATGCACGAATTAGAATACCCTATAATATTCCAGTAATAATAAGCAGCATGCTCATTGAGCTTACATTATTTACAGAGTATACAATAGTTCAATTTGAGGTAGGAAAAATTCCAGGCAAAACTTTAAGATTTATTATGTCCATCGGAGCACCTTAAATTCAAGAAAATAATGTCAATTTCTTAGAATTAGTTATTTGTATTCCCTTGATAAAGGAAAAATGTAAAAAAAATGAAACACAAGTCAATTTGAGCTATTCAGCTTAATTATTATTAGATCATATTGAATACATCAAGTCTAATTTACAGTTATGTTTTTTATGATTTAGTTCCTTAGGCAATAGAGCATTTAATCATTTATATGCCAATAAAAACTGACCTAAATGATTTCCTGAATATTTCCACTGCCATCATGAACCGATGAATTGATATCTCGATTTGATAAGAATACAATGAAACCGTTTTCGCATTGATAACTTGCAATGCAATCTTCGGCGAGTATAAATCTAGCTCCCAGCACCTTGGCAAATCATTCCCAGTTAGTAGCTCACAAGGAAATAATGTTGTCGAAAGCAGTTCCATTGTTCTTGGTATTTGGCACCGCCTTGGCCATGATGCCAGTGAAGCCCCAGGTGAGCGCCGATCGCAGCTTGGTGGACTTTATGCTGCAGACCCGTGGAGTGGGCATTGGCGACCCAGCATTGAAGCAGTATTGCTTCAACCGGTACCTGCCAATCCTGAAGGATGTTTCGGATCAGTACGAGTCCGACTACAACAAGTGTGCGAACGACTACAAGTCGGAGTGTGATGGAATCGACGGCAAATACTACGAACCTCGTGAGAACAGTGCCAGGACCGCCAAGGAAACCTGTGATGCGCTTCTGAAGTGCGATGGCAACGAAAACTACGCTGATGCCTTTGACTGCTACGCCAGCACGGTAAGTTCACTGAGGGACAAACTGAACCTTAACACACATTCAAAACTCCGTCTTACAATAGGGCTCAACATATTCGAAAATATTGTTCTCTCTGTCCTCGGACGCCAGTGAATATGGTGGCGCCATTAGGGAGCTGTATCGCGCTGCTGAGTCCGTTGCTGAGTTCTGTGTCAACTATGCCGAGCGCGTCTACTGGGAAAGTACCGACAAAACCTACACCGAGCTGCAGAGCTGCCTGGATGGTGACATTAACGACTCTACCGTTAAGTCCACAACTACCTCGACTACGACAGCGAAACCCACAACCAAAGTAGCCCAAACGACCTCAGTCACCTCAACCAGTGCGTAATTTGTGAGTCTATTTCATTTAAATATTGAAATTGATTTGTAATTCATATAATTAAGGAAATAGCTGAATCCAGTTGTAACAAAGAAAGAAAGCAGCAATAAATATGAATTCAAATTCAAATTCTCCTGGCTTTTGAAATCTGGAGCAGAAATTCTTCTATAGTGAAATCAATTTGTCTCAAATCTTTAAAGTGCTAAAATAAAAATAAAATAGTATGTTAATAATAGGAACTTAATTTTTTGGGTTGTTTTAATATTCTGGGGTATTTTCATTAATGATTCCAACGGCTAAATTTTACTACAGAAGTTTTTTTTTTTTTTTTTTATTATTATTATTATTATATAAATTATAATTTTAATATTTAATTTTCCTTTGTTAATATAGTCATATATAATCGAATACAGGAGCTATCAGTAAATATATATGTCACTGCCTGTCTACCCTACGACATCAGACTCTTTAAAATGTGACATGAAAATGCCTTAAGGCAAAATAGATATGTTCATGATTATTAAATTATTTTTATGACTTTCTTCATATATTTTATATCGATATATCAATATTCTTAGGCCAGCATGACATATACCCTGCAAACTATTTATTATCTCGATTATCAAACAGACAACAAAAGCAGGTGCTATAAATTTATAGCTAAATCAAACCTAATGATAGTTGATTAATTCCCATACTCTAGATCTATGGGAACCCGAGGCAATATATGTTATTGGTTTAGCGTAATGGCTAGTCATGGACAAATTTTATTTCCTATGACCTCAATTAATATATACTTATCAAATTTATTTCCTTAAAGTTTATGGGAATATTTATAGCTCATTTGAAGTTTCTATCATTTTCATATTTCGATATTGCATTGCAAATTATTTGCTCGTTTATATGAAAACAAAGCTCATTGTTGTAGCTAGGGTGTTTTCTAGTCGGGGACTTTCAAAAGTTACGATTTGATTGCTTTACTGAGGTTTATAGATAAGTGGTATTCCTCGAACCCGAATGATTATTTGAACGTAAACAATGAGAACCGGAAAAAATACACGTGCGAATTTTTTGCAATCGGATGATATTGTCTTATCTGAGTATATAGGATATATCGCATATACATATATACATATATAGTTTTAATCTATAAGCATTGTGTATGTATTTAAATGGTTTCAAATCTCTTAAAGTGATACAAACTGATGAGAGAAGAAAAAAATCTTGCAACATCCTAGAAATAGATATTATTCATCTGAGCTCGAAGTTTAGCTGGGATAGTATTGACCTGATTAAGTGTATCAAATGTTTATAAGCGTATATGTAGCTTTACTTAATTATAATCTAATCAATGAGATTTTTTCCATATGAGTATAGAAATTTGTTAAAAAAAAACTTGATAAAAAAAGTTACACTTAAAAAAATAGCCTGCTGCTGTGTACATCGACATCAATAATTAAAAGATAATGGAGTAATTCGAGAGTCTGCGTCGCAACGCTTAGATATAAATACAGCGAACAATTTCAGCATTCGAGAATTCATTCTATAGCGACAGATCGAGTTGACTGTGCGCTTGTCAAACAATATCCTTGTGAAGATGTCCTTAAAGGTAATCGTGGTACTGCTGGGTCTCACCATTAGCGTTGCGCTAGCTCGCAATCTGCAGCCGTCTCTGAAAGCCGGTCAAAAGGTTCGACAGCTTCATAGCGAGAGCTTGGCTCTGGCCGAAACGCATCAATCCACATCGCAGACTTGCTTCTCTATCTACAATCCTTTACTGAACCAAGTCGCGCGCAACTACGAAGTGGAGTACGAGAGTTGCATCCAAGCCTATGAAACATGCAGCAGTAATATTGACAATCTGTATAAATCTGCCCGCCTAGAGCTTGAGGCGAGTGTCTATCAGTCCTGCAGATCTCTCAGTAACTGCAATATGATTACGAATGCCTACTCAGCCTTCACGTGCGCCTCAACTACGGTAAATAGGAGTTGCTCCATTGCTCTCTTGATAAAATTACATACTAATAAAACTTTAAATGTGCTTTCAGGCTGCTCAAGACTCAAAGGTCTTCTATTCGATTTCTGCCAACGCAACGGAATTGGCTGCCAGGAGCAAGGCTGACTACATTGAGGCCGAGACTGCAAAGTCCGTGTGCATTAACCTTGCGGAGAAGAACTATGTTGAGGACACCTCTAGGGTCTATGGCCAATTGAATAACTGTCTTCTGGGCTACGACTTTCCCAATCCACCTACTGTAGGCACCGTTACACCTTCTCCACCTTATGATGACACAACTCCTGATCCTTCTTATGATTACACTACATCTTACTACTAGCCCCCAACTTACCCTAACAGCTCCAAATAAGCGAATTCACTTTGTAAAATTTCAAATGAATATAAAAGCATACAACAAACATCTTTGTTTTTGTAAACACATTTGTAATAGAGTTTGCTTAAACTCAGAATAAAATATCTAAAAGAACTCTTGACTCTCAACATAATTTTGTTGTACAGCCAATGCCAAGAAATCCAAGTGTTTTTTTCTTTTTTAATTTAATTGGATTCATTTAAGTATATTTTTGAGTTGAATATTTTGCTGTGTATGCTCTCTCTCTCTCTCTGTGCTCAATAAATAGATGTAAGCAATCCGACCAAAGACAAATTTATCTAGTAAAAGTTTAAGACTAAGATTTCTGGCAAGGCATCTGTATCTACCAAAGCGGAATTTTCGATGCTAAGACTCAAAAGCTGCATGAGTAGGAAAAACATCGAAAGGCAGTGTGCATATCATATCATCTTTACTAAATGCTAAACACATATTAAGGAAGAGTTTTCAGGGTAATGTATAATTTGTGCTTGAATAGTGATTTCTTCAAAACTATCAATAGAAACTACCAGATGAAATACCATTTGTATAGGAAGCTACGATTTATATACCTATATATCAATACTTATATGTAGTATTTATAGATTCACAGAAATTGTAATTAAATTAGTTGTCTCGAAAATTTCAATTACTTCCGTTGGCTTAGTAGATAGATAAGACAAAACTCTTTCTATGAGAAAATTAATTAAGAGCAATTATATGTCAATTAGCGCTACGAATTCCAGCAAGCAACAGCTTCTAATTACATATATCAAATTGAAAAGCGTGTCTGATAACATATGAAGTTTTGCTACAAGTTCTAAGAACCCGAAACAGGCGTAGGGGCCATAATTGCTGCTCAATATCCAGATGGCTGCCTTATAAAAAGCAGAGAATTTTCAAATCTGTATTAAGTTTGTCTAGAGCTTTGAGATGTCGTCGACTGGCAGTCTACTGGTGCTGCTCGGCCTGGCCGTAATGGCTGCTGCCAAGCTGCAAATACCAAAGATCCAACGCCTGCAGCATCAGGCGGAGGTGCTGAGCGCACAGAATCCGTCAAGCGGACTTGTTTGCTTTTCATTCTATAGACCAATTTTAGACAGCATCGCCGACCAATACGAGGTGCAATATAACTTGTGTAACTCCCAGTACGAAGATCAGGCCGCCATAGAGTATGCCAACTGGCAGCAACCGCGTGAGCAGATTGCGTCCAGGGGCCGTAACTCCTGCGGCCGGATTGATAACTGCGCCTCAATTGTGAGCGCCGTACAGGCCTTCGAGTGCTACGCTGAAGTGGTGAGTAGTCTTCCCAGAGGACGAGTCGACAAAGCGTAACTACTATTTTCTTAAGGGCTCCGATGAGTCGAAAACTATGTACGGCATTTCGACAAATGCAACTGAAATGATGACGGAAATGGAGGCACTGAATCAAAAACTGATCTCAGCGAAGGACCTCTGCATCAACAATGCGGAGAGAACATATGTCGAGTTTACCGCATCAACATACGAGGCACTGAATGACTGCCTCAGTGGCAAAATTATTATAACTACAACACCTGATTATGAGAGAACAACAACAACTCCAACACCAACCTCAACACCAACAACAACACCAGGGCCAGATGATCCAGATTATTAATAATATGTTGATGCTCCACATCAAAATTAATAAATGAAAGATACAAAACGGCTATACAGAATGAATGAAAGAATTGAAAATTATTGAAAACGGAGAGGAACTAGATACATATGTATATTTAATTGATCAGCACCTTACTTGTTCCCCTATGAGTCTGAAAAAGTATTGTCAAATGTTACACTGATCAGAAACTTTGAAGAGCAGTGAAAGCTCTAATGATAATATGAAGACGTTCTGATAGCAAATATGATATGACTCAGAAGATTTATCCATCTATCTACATAGATACATTTGAGATACAAATAGAGCCAGAAGTTAGATGTTAGCATAGAAGACTAAATAGATGTCAATAACACAGTCAACCCGAAGGAAGAAATTTGTGACTCTGTAGATAAAGTTCCAGCACAAAGTAATTACAAATTAAACGAGCTACTTGTAATACGACTTGATGAGATTTTCATATATGTATATCGAGCTAATACTGTATTGGACTAGTTGGCAGACCACCCGAAAGCCTGACCCAGCTATCGATGCCACTAGATTTTATGTGAAAATTTTATGACAGAAGTGCGGCAACAAAAGACGCACAAATTTCCCACACGCACAACGCGACGAGGTACGACGAGGCCCTACGTCCGACGTGGAAAGATAGCACTTGCGATATGGCGATTATATCAATGGCACTGGGCCGTTGGCAGTAGCACCGGCCAAGGATTCTGAAATCCTTTGCCATATTTATGGCCTTGCCACACCCAGTTTTGTGCGGACAGGTATACGAAAAATCAGTGCACATCTTGTTGTACACGAAAGGACCTTTTCGTCCTTTTGTGAATTGCCGCCGTAACAGGCTACCAAATTTTTCGCTTAATTAATTTGAAATATTTGCGGGAAAATGTCAAGCCGAACTACTTCAATTGAGTTGTTCAGTTGTTGCAATTGTTGTTGTCGTTGCGTTCCTATGGGAAGGCATCCCCGCAATGGCCAAGTAGGCGTCAAACTGTTTTGAAAAGGATGCCAACTCGAACGTCGAACTCGGCGCAATGCAGAGCTGTGCTCAGCCTGGGCTGGGGCTATGCCCGTTGCCGATGTCGGGACTACAATTGCCAGTCATGTCTTCATAAATTTTATTGAATTGAACCGTTTGCCAGGTCTCAACATGCGCCCAACATACAAAACGGCTCCGTGTCGGCAACTCCATCGACTGGAGCTTCAGGGGTGCGGGGCGGGGTGCGCCGCCCGGCATTGGGGACTTGCGTCTATTTGCCTATTTCATCTTTTGCCGACGCTTGTACAGAGCCTTAAATTGAATCGTTACAAATTTTGTTGCTCGTTATAGCAAGCGTTTTATTGCCCAACCAGTTTGCCCGCTTGGCCCAATGCAAACCAGACATCGGGCCAAAACTCCACAGATTATGATCAGCAGACCTGATCGCAGTCGCAGTACGCCCTCGCCCGGTCTCTCGTCCTCGAACGGTAGCCTCTGGGACCGCCTCTTGGGCTCGGTCTCGGGGCGCAGCGTTAAATAACTTCATTAAATGCCCTTTGACATTTATGCTGAATGCATAGAATAGATATAGCTATGTGTGTGTGTGTCTGTCTGTGTGTGTGTGTGTGTGTGTGTGTATGCCTCGTCGCCCGCTGGTTATCGCTTCGGGCAGATCAAGAACGCGCGCACAGGTAGCTCCTGGCTCTATAAATTACGTAATCATCTGATAATGAAAATTGTTTACAAGCTACGACTCGCATCCAGCACGCCCACAGTAGCCGCAGAGCCGACACAAAAGGTCACAACAGCAATCAGCAGTACAGCCTTGCATTTATTTCATTTTCCTTTCTCATTTCACTGAATACGTGCATGTGCTGCATACATACATATATAGATGTATATAGATGTATATACATATATTTATGTCCATCATGTCAACGCTGATTAGTTGCTTTTTTATGAAGAGCGCGCCAAGTGCAGAGCGGGGCCTAGAGCAGGGGCTAGAGCTAATTGCTCTAATTTCTAGCTAAGCAGACTCGGCTTGGCTTGGCCTCCAAGTCGGCCGTTTGACATTTTTTATGCCGAGCTCTGCCATAAATATTGACTGTGGCATCGTTAAAAGGATCGCTGCAGATCGCGCAGCTTGCGCCGCCGATGCTTATCAAGCTGAGCTCCGCTGTTGCCCCTTTGTCCGAATTTGTCTTCGTCGTCGTTGTCTTCGTCTTCTTCTTCTTCATCTTGTTTTCGGCGGCCCTTTTGCCCAAACAATAGCTCTTTTAGCATTTCGATTTGACTGTGCTTAGCGGTATCAAGAACAAGAAATGCGCCAAGCCAAAGATTTATTGGGCTCGATGCTCTACATTTTCAAAAAAACGATAGCACTTGACTCGATGTCCTTTGCTCAAGGCATGCGACATGGAATTGAACTCATTATAAAGAGGAATTAACTTTCTATATAGAGATTATTATTGTCTCACTTTATATATCTCGAACAATCTTCATAAATAGCTTTTCAATATAATTTCCCTTATCTCTATCTCAGTTGCGAGAGCATCCCAGCTTCGTCTAGTGCCAATCTGAAAACTAACGCTGTGATTTTTGCGTATTTCGTTCGTTCGATCGGCAGGGATACCCGAACACAGTGATCGATATGCGAAGATCAGAAGAATTGCGATCTCCATTGGAGATCGCCTTTGGCTGGGGCTGTCGCCGCCTGGGCATGTTTGATCAGAAAATTATTATGTATCTGGAAACGATTAACAGACGCATTTCAATTTTATTGCGCCAGATCATTATCGTAGCCAGATCGAACCTTCTGCGTAGCCACAAGAGAAAAATAACCAGCTGAGACCAAAAGCTAAACAAGAGCGAGAGCAAATGGTTAGATTCATGATATAAGCCCAGCAGCAGCTGGAGTCGGAGTCAGAGTCGGCGACGGAGACGGAGCATCAAAGCCAGCGCCGATTAACGTGCAGGCGCGAAGAGAAACTTTGGCTTTCGCTTGGCTCGGCGACGATTTCACCCAGTGCCACACTTACAACTGGCCAAAAAGAGAACGCCAGACGTGCCATTGCGGGTGGCTTTGGTAATTAGACAACAAGTGTCTAAAGAGCGCGTTGCGGCCAGTTCAAACGATGAGACGATGAGGCCCACTAATGAGGAGCCAACCAACACAACAACACACACACACACACACAGACACACTCATAAAAGGCAGCCACAACAACATTATTAAGGTGAATCTGGGCAGCTTCCCACTTGTGCAGCTCATCTCAATGCGCGCAGCTGATCCGAGCTGAGGAGGTGTTAAAATCGTTGCCGCCTTTGGGCAATTGAGCGCTCGTCAGGCATTGTGCAAATATATTAATCATAAGAAAATCGTCGGCCTAACAAGCGCTGCCTTTAGGTTGGCCGCTAATTCTCATAGGGTTTGCTTTATC